AAATGATTTCTTGTTATCCTTGATCCTGGTCGCTAGTCCTAGTTCTGTCTCCGCCTTAGCCTTCCTAACAGCCCCCCTACAGTCTTGAGCAATAGAGGTATAATCCTCCTTGGTGATGGCCCCTCCCTTCCATTGGGTGTATGCCTCCTTTTTAGCTTTCAGATGTTCCTGAATGCTTTCAGTGAGCCATGGGGGCTTTTGAGCACTCTTGCCCCCTTTGATTCGCATTGGGACTGTCACCCTTTGGGCTCGGAGAATCGTCTCCTTAAGGAACAACCACTCGTCTTGGACTCCCAACTCCCCTACCCTTCGGGACCTCAGTGGCCATGCACAAGAAAATATCTTGCCACACTCTAACTTTTTAATGCCACGCACTTGCCCCAACCTGGCACAGGCTGCTGCAGAATTGCCTGACAAGAATGTCAGGCACACTGAGATACCTGTGCACCCCCAGTCAGGATTGCCGGCTTGAAGGTGCCTGATATTATTGGGGGGGGGAGTTAGGGGTGATGGTTATGGATTTCTGACAGTCCCAGTGGGGAACTGTGAGTCCTCTTGGTAGGGCTTGGTTCAGGGGACTGCCCAGCTGCTCCAGATGGAGCAAGACAGGAGCCTAAGCAGCCTGTGCCGAGCGGAACATGACAGCAGAGGCTTGGCCACTTGCAGCTGGTCCCAGGGAGGTGGGAGGCAGCTCTCTGGGGACAGAGTCATGTTTTACCAAGGCTCACATTAGCATTGCCTCAGAGGTGCGTGGAGACCACCAGCTGACCTGCCAGGTCCTGTAAAGTTCATCATCAGCTCCAGGGTCTCTCTGGGAGGGAAGGGGAGGGGAATCTTTGAAGCCACTTTCTCTCTGATGCTGTGCTGGAGAGAGAGAAACCTGCCTGAGGATGGGCAGCCAGACAAAAGGTTCCCCAGCTTCACAGGCTGCTACACATTTTCATCCTCCTTCTACCTGTGCCTAATCCTGGGAGCCCAGGAAAGCAACCGCAAGGTGACTGGAAGGCAGCAACAATGCATATAGCCAGGCTCCTGAGCTGTAAGTCCCATCCCTTAGGAACAGAAGCCCAGAAGCCGGCATCCTGGATGTGCCTAGCTCTGGGGCCTCCAGCAAACACAGCAGGCATCATCATTGTTCCCTCTAAGCTGCTCATGGACCTCCAGACCTTAGAGGGACCATTGCACCTGAGCCCACTGAAACCCGAATCAGAAGCAGCAACAGTTAAACACAGTGGAATTGCAGTATTTTTTTTTCCCTTAATAATGTTGAAGTACTTATGCCTTTTTCACCACAGTTTTCACAGGCAAGGCCAGCTCTCAGATTACTGCACCTGGCAGCACAGTTTAGGGAAAAAGGTAAGCAGCCAACAGTGGTGAAAGAACGGGTTACAGACTATTTAGACACGTTAAACATGTACAAGTCCATGGGGCTGGATACTATACACCCAAAGGTGATGAGGAAGTTAGTCGATGCGACTGTAGAGCTGCTGGCCATTATCTTTGAAAACTCGTGGCAATTCAGAGGGGTCCTGGATGACTGGAAAAGGGAAGATACAGTGCCCATCTTCAAGAGGAAGATCTGGGGAACTACAGACCAGTCAGCTTCACCTTTAGTCCTTGGAAGAAGTCATGAAGTATGCTTTCAAGGAAGCCATTTCTAAGCACCTGGAGAAGGTGATAAGGAACAGTCTGTATGAATTCACCAAAGTCAAGTTGTGCCTGACCAATCTGATTGCCTTCTATGATGAGATATTATAAAAGCCTTAGTCTGCCCATCTGTCCATAACACTTTATTTACACGCTGATCGTCTGATGGAAAAAACTAGAGTGCGAATACAGTGTTCGGACAGTAGGTGGAGGCATGACAGAGTGCCACCATGATGGTGGGGACAGAGGGAATGGAGCTGATCTCATCCCCCCGACCCCGCTGGTTCTTGGAGGTGGCAGCAGCAGTGTAGGGGGATCAGGGTCAGGATGCCACCACCCCCCCAGCTCCTTGCAGGTGATGAATATCTAATGGGTGGGCCCTAACGAGTGTGCCCCCCAAGGCCAGCAGCCCCTTCTCTCTCATGCACTGCTCCCTCCCGATGTGGGGCGGGGGGGAGCAGCGGGCCCGGGCCAATGTGGGAGGGGATGGGAGGAGCCAGCCCAGCCCCATAAC